CCACCAGCCAGTTTGTTTTCCTATGATTCCTGAAGTTGTGGACTCCATCTGCTCTTTCCTCAATAATACATTCATAATATCGGTGGCCCGAAAGGAGTGTTCTTTAAGAACTTTCCATTGGGTTACCCCATTAAATAGTTCTTCCGACGCAAGTGTGATATCTGGTACTTCTTGTCAGTTTCTTGTGATAAACGTTGGCATACTACCTTTGTTACACAACAGAAGCTTAGTGCCTAGTAAGTAATTAAAGAGACACTCACCTCAGTCATTGACGCCTGTGCTGCCGTAGATTGTATGGTGCGCCTGGTGTCACATCCACACTTGGATGCCTCGCTATAACGAACCACCTCTTTTACCAGCAGAGGTGGCACATGCTCCTCATTGTATAGCATATAACTTGCCACCAGCCGGGGTACATACTTGCGCCCGTTTTCCAGGTTACTATCGGCAGCCGACTTTAAGTTGTGATTCTCACCTTCGGGAATCCATAATTGATGTCCCCGCCCCCTTTCGCCGGCGTTTCGATGGACTCCGTCGTTAGTAACAGCAGAATCTGCATCGTGGCCCTTTGGTATCCACGTCAGATTCTGTTACTGGCTCTTCGAAGGCCTTGACAAATTTCCACCCCATCATAGGCAGACTCGGATTGCAGGCTCTTATGAGCTGCCTAATCTGGTCTGCAATCGAGAACGTCATTTCTAACATAAAAAGGTGCACCCACTATAGTACGAAGCACTTTATTTTGAAAGGCTTAAGTAGCTTTAAAATTTGAATCAGCTGACCTTCCCTAGAGTTGAATTCCATACGACCAGATAGGTCTGAGTATTGCTTTATATATGAGTACCTTATTCTTCGAACTGAGACGGGATCCTGACCGTAGGACCAGTACAGCTGCGCAAACCTTAACCTCAGTTAAGTTCTTTTATTTTCAAGTGGTCTCCCATGTACGTCTCTTATCAATTGTAAGTCCCAGATATTTTGCGCTTGTGCTTATTGGTAGCAACTGACCATAGAAGGCCACTTGAGGACATATTTTGTGCCTGAGGGTAAACACCACTTGTATGGAATTTTGTATTAATGGCAATATTCCATTTGGTGAGCCACGATTTTAGACCAGTCAATTACGTTTGCAGTTTAATGGAGGCAGCAGTAGAATTGCTATTTGACGCCAGCAGTGCAGCGTCATCCGCATAGGTTGGCGTATTCTGAGAGTTAATTACTGGGAGGTCAGACGTGAAAAGAATGTAGAGCGCAGGCGCAAGAAAGCTGCCTTGAGGTACACCAGCGCGTATGAGTCTCAGATCCGACTCAGCATCACGACATCTGACGTAGAAAGTCCGATTATGTAAGTAAGACTTTAGCAGCAGGTAGTAAGGCATGGGAAGTTTTTCTTTAACTTATATAATAGGCCTAGGTGCCAGACCATGTCAAATGCTTGACGGACATCACGGAAAACACCAGAACAGTATTTACAATTTTCCATGGCATCAGTTATAAAGTGTTCTACGCTGTGGCATTGCTCAATGTTCAATTGTCATGAACATTATTTTTCTAGGTTGTGCCATATATGCGAAGCTCGTTACACCACAGTTTTCGTATTTTGATCTTTATTTCTATTTTTAACAATGAATTGTAACTTCAGTTTGTACTATTATAGAATATGAGGAATAAACCTTTAGAAAAAGCCCAAATTTGCGATACTATAACACAATAAAGAAACAAACAAAAAAATATGCCATTTACATATATGTTGTATATTGTGAAATTCGATCACAATAGAATATTCACATAATATGATTCAATTTCATAATTTTACTCTCAAAAATCAGTAGTACTAAAAAAAATTGCTTGTTTAAATACTGGAAAACTATTATGTACTGGCGGCATTTCAGAAAATAGAAATGCTTACCTAATAAGTGTAAAAAATTTAATAATTTGTATAAAATGTAATAAAAATGAGAAGATGATTTCAGTCCCTGCAAGCCACTAATCACCAACAGCGCTACCAAAGATTTATGTTAAGGTTTTTATAAGTTTTTTAAGGACCAATTGACAATTCTCACCGAAACTCTTGTGTACACGTGACCGTTCATTCCTTTATTACGCAAAGGCCTTATAAGTTACGGTAAGTGTTAGTTTCCGCGCTACGGAAGACATCCCAGTGTTGGACCGACCAGGGCTATTTTCGTTCCATACCGAAAGGAAATCTACGTGTAAAACTAATAATATATTTTTTATTTACTGCCTTAGGGGTATAATTTGTTTTCATTATTTCTTTTAGTTTCTTTACAAAATATGTAGATAAGGTAACACTGATTATTTGTTACTAAGTAATCGTTTTTTTTTATTGTGTGAATAAATATATTTGAACAAGGAAGTTAAATACAGAATTTAAGTTTTTTTAATATAATATGAACTAAATGTGTAGAATCGAGTTAGGAAACTGCTGCTCACAACAAATGGCCTGTTAGACTACTTGGCGACATTAGTTGACAAAATTTGAGTACTTCCACATTCTTCCGCTAAATGAGAGAGAAATTTGTCCCAAGTCAATTTGAATAATACTCACACTTTTACCTAGCTCCTGTGCTGGGGGTTTAGTTTAGTGTAATGCTTCTATTAGAGGTCACAGTCTATTTATTGATTTGATTGTTTAATGTTCTTTTGCATACAAAATTATATCTTACTGTTAATGAAAAGTCAAAAGAAAAATAAGTGCCCGACAATCAGGTGACTTCAATAATAACGGAGGAAAGTGATGATTGTGATCTAAATTGGCGAACGTATTATCTAGACGCAGCATTACCCGATATTGGTGATAATTATTGAACTATTTCATATGGATTCACAGCTCGCCATATATTATGTGTGTTCCAGTCGTTTGTCCACATAATCTGCAACCGATACTTATCTGCTCTGGATAATCCACTACAACCAATACCGAGTTACAAATCTATAGTCTTTAACAAATTACAAGCCATTTCCTTAAGAAGTAGTCGTCGATTATGTTTCGCCGCCTCGTCCCCGCGTGACAAACACCTATATCTCTATACGATAACCGTGGACAATGAAATACTCAGCGCCCGCGCGTGATCCCAACACCTTTTCCCTCATGCTCGTATGCTACCATATAACACGTTTAGCATCTCAGCACTCTCCCTATAAACAATTGTAAGCAGAGCCGATACTATATATCTCGCGGTCGAAACTATGCTCCCTACTGAGTCAAGATACTCTAGAGACGACGACCATGACTCATGGCGCGAATTATGATCATATACTCAGTAACATAATACCTGCGAACTGTGGCGCGTTGCGCTATACAACGGGATGCGGCATAAACACCTTACGTCTACTTTAAAACTCTCCTTGGTGCACATGCCAGAGCTGGATTAACGTATCCCTATGATTCCGCCATTTCAGCCCAATACCAAGGAGGACGTCAACGTCCTTGTTAAAGGACCCATGGTGGTCTCCCGAACTTAAAAAATTGCAGAAAGACTGCAGGAAGTAGTTCAATTTAGCTAAGCTTTCCCAAGGCGAGGAAGATTGAGATAATTATTACAACCTCTTAAGGTCATACACAAAGGAGGTTATTATAGCAAAAATAAATTCTTAGAAATGTTTTTGCAATGATATTGAGAATACGGTGGAAGCGTATCGACTTAGAAGAATAATGACACAATCGGTGCATAGTATTTGATACGTCAGAGGCCAGACCACAGCTGTACGGTATCCAGTGAAGAGTCACTAGACCTACTAATGGATACCCACTCCCCAGGTAGCTCTGAAAGCCGCACAGTGTAGTATACACAAGACAGTGGAGCAGAGATAGACACTACTTTTAAAGATAGTGTCAGAAAGCAATGTACGCTGGGCGATAAAAAGCTTCAAGTCTATTCCCGGCTTAATAACAGCAGTCGCAGAATTACATAATAGATTGGCTAGTAACCATTCTTAAAAGGGCGCTGCAAATAAACTACATTCCTTCTAGATGTAAATTTCCGAACACTCTCGCTAACTTTTGCAAACAATTTTAGTCGATATAAATCATTAAGCCATATCGTGCGGACTAAATTTAAATGCTAGTAAGACAGAACTAGTATTGTTCACCAGGAAACACAATACTCCAGTCAATCCACCAATCTACTTAGGACTAATCTTAGACAGGAAGCTTTAATGGAAACCATGCTTAGATGATAGGGTGAAGAAAGCAGCGACAGCACTCTACACCTGCAAAAGAATGGAAGGCCCCAAATGGAGGCTAACGCCTCGGGTACCTCATTGGCTCTACACACTAGTTTTTAGACCAATTATGACATAGGCTATATTGGCATGGTGGCCAATAATGGAAAAGAAATACGCAGTGAGGCGTATGGAAAGCATACAAAGAGCAGCAGCATATGCATCAGAGGAGCTCTTAGAACAACGCCAAGTCAGGCACTAAACAACATTTTACATTTTCTTCCAACAGAATTGTTCTGTTAGCAAATGGCAGCCAAGTCAGCTCTCAGACTAAGGGAATCCTCCCAATTAGTCGCCTGCAACAAGGGCATTCTAAGATACTAGTGTCTCGTTTCACCCACCACCATGGATTTCGAAATCCAAAGAATCTGAAACAAAATGCTCCAAATTGCCTTCCCTACCAGAGAAAAGGGAAAAGGACGAGGTGGACAGGAATTAGATTAGCATCTATACAGATAGGTCCAAACTAGATAATCGAGTGAGGTGTCTTTCATGCAAAATTAGATACCAAAACCGCCTTCCGGTTACCAGACCACTGCAGTGTCTTCCAAACGGAGATCACGGCAATCAAAGAAAGCCTTGTTGTTCTGACAAAAAGTGTGCTCACAACAAGGACTATATTTATCACTGAAATCTTCTATGGTTTCGTCAAAGAAAGTGAAAGAATGTCTTGATCTCTTAGAGGATCTAACATCCTACTTCACGATAAACCTGATGGGTTCCGGGCAGTGATATCCTTGCTAACAGGAAGCAGATGAATAGCGAGCGGGCACCACTCTACATATAGCTCTGAAAAAGGAATTTTATGCTCTGGCCACTTGTAAACATTTAATCAGCGAACATGTTGACTAGATCCCGCAAACGTGGCAGAATGGAAAGAGCCGCACAAACCGATATAAAATTCAAAGGAATGACATAAGAACTCAGGTCACTGTCTAATTGGTAGACATGCCAGCAGGCTAGGTGCACCTTACAATGACTATTGTAGAAGCTGTCAGGAGGTAGAAGAGGATACGTAAACATCTTCTTGCGAATGTAAGGTCTGTACGGGAAAAATCGCAACTATCGGTCGAGGGTCTGGACGACTTCATACTCATACATACACCAAATGCATAGGTCTGCCTACAGTGCATATCACGAATATTATTTTTTATTTTATTACAAAGTCGAAGAGAATGTTTAGCCAGTCTGGATTGCTAATATCTGATAGGAGAACAGTACTAACGGTTAAAAACGTCAACAGGTTACTTTTTTTTAAGCAAACACAAGTGGATCATTGAGGAATAGAGTATTTTACCGAAATGTATAAATTTTTTCACCTCATACTAAATACATTTGAATTTATAAAAATACTTTTATAACTTGTCAGTCTCAGAGCAGTTTACATATGTAGAAACATAATTTATATTTAACTTCACTAATTTTTGTGTTTTCCGTTATTATTCATGTTCTTTATAGCATTTCATAAAATTCAGTGTACAAAGCAAGTCTCTTATTTTAAACCAGTAAAAGTAGATATCAGAGAAAACTATCGATAGTAGTCGAATTTTGCAGCTCAAACTAGTCATACTGTTATTATATTTCAGTGCTTCGCACATTTATTACTGGGATTCTATCATTATTATTATTTATTAAATAAATCCAAAGGCGTAGTCCCTATTTAATAAATATATTGAAAAAGTATATGATTTAGTTGTAAATTTATAAATAATAATTGTAGAATATGATAGTTGTCGGAGTCATAATTGAAACCGATAAAAATGTGGTAGGTGTCATAAACTAGATATTATTGGTTTGACGTTTGAAACAGAAATTGTCGGTTTTGGGTGTCGCGGAAACAATTTTATGGGTTTTGTTCACAGAAACAAGGCAAGATATAAATTGAAATGATTGAAATGTTAAGAAATTAATTTATATTGCAACGAAACGTAGAATAAAATCAATCGACGATAAATATGAAAACAAGAAGCGAATTCGTGGTTGCCAGAATGTTCTAGAGGCGAAGTTTTGTTAAAGATCTACTACCTAAGGGTTGCAGATTGTTCAGCACGGACAGTTCTCGTTAGAGTGTGCAGTGTTAGGACAATTGAGATATAAAAAGAAGTTGTAAGCTCGGATAAGTAGTAGTTAAGTTGTTGGAATCAGAAATAAGATTAGTGTATCATTAAATTGGGACTTTTATTTAACAACTAGTATCAAACTGAAGAGTGTTACGATTTAATTATATTTATTTCTATAGGGAAATAAGAAAAACATAGAATGCCATAATTAATGAGTTTATGAAGAAATTCAGATAATTTAAGACGTTTTCGTAATAAAGTAGTTTAACACCGAATGCGTCTGTACTCAGTCGATAATATGAATATATATCCGTAAAGTAAGCATTTACATACAAGCACACAGTAAATGCGCAAATTTCACATGATTCTCCGGCAAGTGGATTACTGATTTTTAATATCTTCCTTTAATTTTTCGTTGTTTTTAAAAATAAAAGCTAAAATAGGAACTTATTCAAATTTTGGTATACTTTATTCAGAATTTTAAATTTATCTAACGCTTCCAAATTTATTCATTTGCTAGTTTCACATTAGTAAGAACCAGATTTTTAAAATACTTAAATTTTTCGAATTCAAACGTTATAACAAACAAAATCAAGTTTATAACTAAAAAACGAATCGTGATGTATAGAAATGCATTCAAAATAAACGAATTTAAATTAACGCGCAGACAAACAAATGACAATGAATTGTAGAAATGAATATTCGTTATATTCATGGATTGATATCAAAAGTAATATATAAATTCATTATATTACTAATTTCGTGCAATTTTCAAGAATTTGAAGGTTTACATGACAACGGCATCTTGAAATTATTATTGATTATCAAGTTGCTTCAGCCTTCGTGACATCTCAATTTAAGTAAATTTTGACAAGAGACGGCGTTCAAGTTGGTGAGTGTATTGCAACTTGAAAGTAATTTTTGACCGGTATCGTCCGTGTTAATAAATCTTCCCACTCGAACATTCGGCAACCTGAATCTTATAGTTAGAGTAATATTGGATAAGCAACAAATCTCGATAGAAAAGCACGTATGGCTATAGAATAGCATACAAACATCGTCATTGGAAATTTGAAAATTAGCTCACATCTTCCGATGAGCTATTTCCTTTTTGACTTTTCTAACAGTAAGATATAATTTGTATGCAAAAGAACATTCAAATCAAAAATAGACTGCTCTAATAGAACGACATAATAAACAACCCCAGCACAGGAGCTAGGTAAAAATGTGCAGTATTATTCAAATTGACTTGGGACAAACTCATTTAGCGGAAGAATGTGGAAGTACTCAAATTTTGTCAACTAATGCCGTTAGTGTCTAACAGGCCTTTTGTTGGAGCAGCGTTTCTAACTCGATTCTACAATTTAGTTCATATTATAAAAACTTAAAT